GAGACTAAAAATGGACAATCTCAAAAGTAACATAATTTCTCTCAAAACCAAAAGTTTAAATCTTCATGTTAGTTAAATTGTTTCTCATTCTTGTTTATCACATAGTGTTGTATACATTGTTAAGAAAAGTGATCTATACCTCTTCCAGGTTTTCTCACCTTACTTATGACAGTGAGTTTGTGTGTGGAGATTTTGAAAAAATTCAAGTAAAACATTGTGTAATATAATGAAATTTCTAAATAGTTAAGATAAAGGTTTCCCCTGACATTAAGTCTAGCCGTGTCTGACTCTGGAGGTGATGCTCATTTCCATTTCTAAGCTGAAGAGTCAGCGTTGTCCGTAGAGGCCTCCAAGGTCATGTGGCCAGCATGACTGAATGGAGCACTGTTAACTTCTCGCAGAAGCAGCACCTATTGATCTACTCACATTTGCATGTTTTCGAACTGCTGGGTTGGCAGAATGTCTAATTTTTAAATAGAAAGACTAAAAATGAAGGAAAAGTAGATCAAGTCACAGTTCTTCTCTAAAATCAAGGATGTGAATCCAGCAAATTTATCAATTCAGTACTGTGAAAGCTTGTTTGTGAGTTCAATAAAAATATAAATAATTTTTAAAAGTATTAATATAATAAGGCAGAGATGGGTAATATTATCTCCCCAGGCGTGTTATACTGCCTAGGGGTGATTTGGTCTTAAAAAGCAGTTTCTTTCATCCAAGCCAGATCACTGATCCATCCACCATGTATTCTGAGTGGCAAAAAGAAGCAATTAGTCTTTCTCCACCAGGTTTGCTACCTGAAATCAATTAAATGAACATGCCAACTATTGAACCTGGGAGCTCATGCAGAACTAGTGATTGAATCCTTACTTAGCTAGTGGTCTTTTATCATACAGTGCAGAAAGATTTCTCACAATCCATTAAACCCCCCCGCCTCCACTGCTAAAAAACAAAATACAAAACCAACCCTCCATAGCTTAAGTAAAACCTCCAAAGAATGAACTAAACCACAATAACAAACACATCCATAGCTTTTTTTAAAAAAATCTTACATATTGAAATACTGTATATACCTGTGTAAAAGTCAAACTCATGTATAAGTTGAGGGCAGATTTGGGAGTCAATATTAAGGATTTTGATATAACTAGTGGATAAGTGAAGAGTCATTCCACCTCAGATTGCAGCTACCATTTTCCCAGCCTGGCACTCAGAAATGCATTCAAAAACATGATATTGGGACAATGGAAATGGTAGATGGGATTTGTGTTTCTTTTAGGTTCTCTTGGGATGGATAAAACTCTCACTTCTTGCCTCTCTGCTCAGAAAAAAAGATACTATTTTTTAAAGAGTTACGTTAAAATACTTTCCCTGACTCATGAATAAGTCAGCCCTAGCTTTTTGGGTAGATTGTGTGAGTAAAATTTCTAGGCTTATTCATGAGTTTATACATGCAAATACGGATTCTAATACTTCAGTTTTACTATTAGCTCAAAGCAGTATTTGACAAACTCCACATTTTGACCCCAGGACATTCCCAGCCTGTTCTAATCAAGGGTTAAATAATGCCACTTGTTTCTTGCAGGGACCAGAAAATTTGAGAATATATGTTTTGTGAAGGCCTATTTCAAATTTTAGAATTAGTATTCCCATTTATAACTTTTAATCACCTTTCCTAATAATCAAAAGGCAATTTAATTGTAACATAGCAGATTTTATATAAAGATGGCAAACTTAACACATTCCTAGTGTTCCTTGGAGGTTAAAAAAACCTGTAACACAAGAAAATTGCTCAGAGTGATCTACGCCACCTCTGTCACACATCATCGCCTACAGACAAATTTTCTTTACTCACATTGCTAATATTAAAGCCTGGACCAGAATGCAAATTCCCAACCAGAACTTAAAGTGTGAATGTCACACTTCTTTACATATGAAAACAGGCACTTAATTGAATACCATTAAATAGCTTCTGCTTGTCAAGAAGGACAAAATTTTAAAGATATTTTTGGATGGGTAGGAGATGTTCTCTGGTAGTTTTGTTCTCTTTAATTCAGTGAAGCTCAACAATGGGTGCATTGATGCTGTAGACTTAATGCAGTTTGACGTCATTTTAACTGTCATGGCTCAATGCTATGAATCCTGTAAGTTGTAGTTTAGTAAGGCACCAGAATTATTTAGCAAAGGAGGCTTGCAAACTACAACTCCCAAGATTCCATAGCACTCAGCATAACATTCAATGATTAGGTAATGTCCATGAATTAAATGTAACAAAATGGATATAAAGTAAAGGTAAAGGTTTCCCCTTGACATTAAGTCTAGGCATGGTCAACTCTAGGGGGTGGTGCTCATCTCCATTTCTAAGCCAAAGAGCCAGCATTGTCCGTAGACACCTCCAAGGTCATGTGGCCAGCATGACTGCATGGAGCACTGTTACTTTCCCGCAGAAGCAGTACCTACTGACCTACTCACATTTACATGTTTTCAAATTGCTAGATTGCAGAAGCTGGGGCTAACAATGGGAGCTCACCCCACTCCCCAGATTCGATCCTCCAACCTTTCAGTCAACAAGTTCAGCAGTTCAGCTGTTTAACCTGCTGCGCCAACTGGGGGCCCAGTGGGTTAAATACTGAAAAAAAAACACTGAAAAAGATTAATGGAAGACTTCAGAGTTAGATTCAATAACCAGACCTATAATATCAAGAATCCTGCCTGCAAATATAACTGTTGTGATTTTTAAAGAAAGTATTTCAAGCCTACCCTATAACAATATATCTCTGAGAGGGTACAAACAATTATATAATTTTAGCATCTAAATGAAGCCCAAAATCTCAACAGATGAAAAATCAAACTGATTTCACTACGGTGGATCTCAAATGTTTGAACAAACAGCCAAGAATTCACTTGGCACCAGAATTAGGCCAACGTCAGCAGCCTTTCTAGAGAACATGAAAGCTCTGAAAAAGCTTTTGTATTCTGAAATGCAATATTTCACTATTCAACTAAACAACAAAAGGCAACTGACAAGAAACAGTAAACTATTTCATTTCCCCCAAAATTTCACAAGAAGTCAAAACAAGCTTGCCATACTACTGATAAAGGGTAAAGTTAAGTATTCTTAATGGAAAATATTTTGTAAGTTTCTCACTTATCAAGAGATGACATTGACTAATGAAGTCCACCTTTAAGGATTCAACCATGTCAGCTTCAGGTCTCAGAGTGTTCCTCAAAACAGATATAAAATTATAAAAAAGGGAATTCATGCTTCATCCAAGCAAACTCAGAAATGCAACAACAACATTCAGAAAATAGACTTCTGACACTAGTTTGTATTTTAAAAAATCACTTCTTTTTCATCTCTTCAGTACCTGCTCCCCATTTCCTACCCAAACATGGTTACAATTCTATTAGCCTGTATTAAAACATCTGGGAGGGAGGGTGGGATTTTAATATTGGTGTGGAAATCTTTTTGAGAGTTGAGGACTAGATCTTCCCATAGGCTTCATTGCGGGATGGAAGATGTGAGGCAGTATTCACTGAGTGCCTTGACTAAGCACAACAACCAGCTTCATTCTTCCTCTCCCTTCCTGACACAGGAACTCAGGATAATACTTTAAGATCAATGTCTGGGACATGCCTCAGAGGCCTTTATTCTTCATAAAAATATAGCAAGAGTTTGGCAACCCTGTCATACCTTTGTTAAGGGGGGGGGGGGGATCATCCGGGGCCATTTTCTTTTTGTTCTTGTTTTTATTGTATTGTTTTGTTCAGCCATAGAGGTTTAATGCTAATAGGCTTAACTAATGAGATAAACAAATGGGCGTGGAATCCCTGAAATGCACTGCTTAAATGCTACTTAAAACAGGGTTCAATGTAAGTTCATAATAATTCAATTGCAGACACACACATGAACAAGCATATCCCAACTGAGTACATTCAGTGGGACTACTCACTTGCTGTTCTTGTGTGTCTTCAAGTTATTTCTGATCTATGCCAAAACTAAGGTTGAATCTATCATTGAGTTATCCTGGCAAGATTTGGTCAGAGGGGATTTGCCCATGACTTCCTTCCTCTGAGGATGAGAGATTGTGACTTACTTAAGGTCACAGGGCCACGGCAGCACAGCAGTTAAAATCGCTAGCTGCAGGAAAAGGTTCAGAGGGTTAGTGGTTCGAAGCCACAAGTTGGGATGAGTTCCTGGCTGTCAGTCCTAGCTTCTACCTACCTAGCAGTTCAAAAGTAGATCAATAGGTACCGCCTCGGTGGGGAGGTAAAATGGAGCCCCATGTAGATATGCCAGTAACGGACAGAGAAGTCTATGGACAACAGGCTCCTTGGCATGGAAAAATGAAAAAAGAGCACCTCTCCATGGCCAGAGTTGAGCATCACTTCCAGATGCCGGAGATGGAATGGGGAAGGCCCTTTACCTCTGTCTGTGTATTGCATGTTGTTGTTCAGTGTTCACTGTGTAAAAAGGCATTTAATGTTTACCTTATATATGTAAACTGTGTTCCGCTCTGTGTCCCTCTGGGGGAGATAAAGTGTATTATTCTAAAGTGTCACCCAGTTGGTTTTCATGGCTGAGTGGGAAATCAAATCCTGTCTCCCAGTGTCCAAATCCAACTCAAACCTCTATACCACGATAGCTGGTAAAGGGAATGGTGCTTAAAGTATTAAGTGTACATAAAAAGAATACCCATAAAGTCTTCAATTTCAGCATAGTGGAAAGAGAATAGCTGTAAATGAAACTGTATTTTGAAGTCCATTATCATGGAACAGTACTGAACTACCATTTTACTCATATATTACCTAGTTTTCTCCAAATTTGACCCTACAGAATCTGTTGGATTTCAATTCCCAGGACTCCCAGAAAACACTAAGACAGAATCTCAGGGCCATTATCCAACAATGCTTGTAGGCCTAAGTTTGGAAACTACTGAGTGAATTCACTTTATTTCAAACTAGAAAATAAAGAAAAGATAAAATACAGCATGTTCCATACCTACCTGCAACATTAAGCTTTTCAGCTGTTCCTGAACTAGGAGTAGCAGTGGTGGTGCTGTTTGTGGAGTTTGCACCAGTGCCATTGATTACAAGGTTCTCCACTTTAGACTCAAGCTTCCCAATACGTTGCAGGATATTATCCAGCAAGACAGCAAGTGTCTTCTTCAAATCTAAAATAAAACAAAATCAGTTAGTATTAGGTGGAAACATACATATTTGCTATATGTTCCCATTAGGTGGAACAATGATTTTTATAGCAAACCCGTCAAACCTATTCCTTTCTGACCCAAATGTTTAACTACTTAAATAATGCAGGCCTCAAGATAAGCTACCTGCGCTATTCATTAATACTGAACAACACGCTATCTTAAACAATGTATGCGTAGCCATACTATGACTATTTTTTCCTCAACCAAAGACCTCTGAAGCCAAATATTGCTAAAGCAATAATAATAATAATAATAATAATAATAATAATAATAATAATAAACTTTTATTTGTATACCACTCTATCTTCTCAAGGGGACTCAGGGTGGTTTCCAGCATAGGTCAAACATTGCAATTATAAACATAAAAATATACAAGTAATCATTATAAACAAAGACATAATACTATAAAACAGTCATACATATTTAAAATTAAAAACCAGTTCAGTGCTAATTCCATCAGACAAGTTTAGTTTCCTATGGTCAAGATTCGAGAGTGGGCCTCGATAACTATGGGAGGGTTGGGCTAATATAACAAGGTGAACTAGGGCCTGAAAAGTGGATAAAGAGCAAGCATGATCCTGCATGATGGTCAGGGCGGGATCTGGAGCTATTTATTTGCAAGGCCTGAGGCACAGATATGAGAGGGCTGGACCAATGGGAAATTTAGGGCCGGGGAAGTGGGTAAAGTGCAGATACTTTGCAAAGTGACACTGTACCATTCAAACACCAATCTATCCCATCTTTTTATCATGTGACCTAATAGCTATGTCTTCATTCCACAAAGAAAAAATCCCTGCAACAATTGCAGTATAGTATTTTAATGGTACCCTTTTGCTGAAATCAGAGGTTAACAAAAAGTGGTCCATGAACTGCATGAGGCCCCCATGGACATTTTGTTGCCACCAGCCTCCTCCCCAAGTCTTTCCTCCCTGAAAATTTTGAACAAAAAACATGTTTGCTCTGAAATATTCCAAAATAATACCCAATACTCTAGTTAGTATGAAGGGAATATCCACAAAGAAAGATTTCCCATAAAAAGGATTCTGTAACACATTCATACATACAATTTTAAGGGGAGGGGATATCTGAAAACATCCTTCAGAAGGATTTATTTCTAGAGAGCTGACCTGAAAGTAGACCCCAAAACACGACCCCAAGTCCTGTAAAGAGCTTTGGGGGAAATTAGGTGCAAAGAATGTCATTTGATTTTGTGGGAACAGCCAGGTCTGTTGGAGGCAAATGCAGCCCCACAATTGCTCACTGTTGCTCTTCCCTGCTTTAGATGCTAACCACATTATAGTTTCATGTACTTAACAGAATAGTTAAGAGCATCAGTTGGCAGTCAATAGTTCAAATACTCAGGTCATTCATTAATGTACTCAGTGGCTTTAACTGTACAGCTATTTCTCAGCTTTATTTTTATTCACCAATCCTATAGTAGAACCTTAAAACAACAGTTTGATATTACAGAGGCATGTAAAAATATGATATAATGTTGAAAAATATGGAGTACTTTAAAGAAGAAGCATGACATATCTGTTACAAGCTATTCTTTTTCACTGGATTGTTTTGAGTTTTCCAGGCTGTATGGCCTTGTTCCAGAAGCCTTCTCTCCTGACATTTTGCCCACATCCATGGCAGGAATCCTCAGAGGTTGTGAAGTCTGTTGGAAACTAGGAAATTGGGGCTTATATATCTGTGGAATGTCCAGAGTGGGAGAAAGAACACTTGTCTGTTTGAGGCAAGTGTGAATGTTGCAATCGACCACCTTGATCAGCATTTAATGGCCTTGCAGCTTCAAGGTCTGTCTGCTTACTGTCTGGGGGAATCCTGGTGAGAAATGATTAACTGGCTGTGATTGTTTCTTGTCTGGAATTCCCTGGCCATAGATGCAGGCAAAACATTTGGAGAGAATGCTTCTGGAACATGGCCATATAGCCTGGAAAACTCACAGCAACCCAATGATTCTGGCCATGAAAGCCTTTGACAATACATATTCTTTTTCTGTTTCAAAATCCACTAGTTATTTTTAGAAGTTGTTCTGAATTAGGAATTCAAATAATTTAACACACTGAACTAAGAATTTAGGGTGGTTGGATTTGTAAGTGTTGTTAGGGTCAATATTCATAAGGAATTGATGGAAAATAGTGTTGTAGGTCCCTTTATATTTCTCTTTGTCCTCAATTTGAAAGTGTCACCTCTGAGGTTTGTTACCAAAAAGCCACCTGAGAGCACAGGCTTATTCATCTTTTATCATATTCCATATCTCCTCTACTATGTTTTGATCATTTACTTTATTGTGAATGATTTCAATCTGTTGGAGGGCAAAGCCCTTTATTTACAGGCAATGCATGCCAAATTCAAAGATTTACCATGGCTAAACAATGTACAGGCAGTCCCCTAAGTTACAAACATCGGACTTATAAATAATAACTCATAGTCAAGGACAGGGGTGAGACAGCAGGAAGTGCGARAAATCTATCCCTCTGAAGGGAAATTCACTCCTGAAAGAGTTATCGGGGGGGGGGGGGGKGTCTCCACTGAAACTTTTTAGCACCAATCATTGTTTCTACAACAAGCCAAAATTTTCAAAATCCAATTATCATAGAGACAGGAAATGAGGTCCACAGCATATTCAACTCAATAACAAACCTATCTTTCTACATCACACTAGAGAATGAATCCACTTAAAATATGGTTTCTGCCTCCTGTAGAATACGGGGGTTTGTAGTTTAGCGAGGCTGTTAAAGGCTCCTCTCTAAACTACAAACCCCAGAATTCTGCAGGTGGCAGAAACCAGATTTAAAGTGGATTCATTCTCTAGTGTGATGAGGTCTTTGAGGACTACCTGTACATACAAAACTAAGAATTTTAAACATGAAATCTCACAAAATCAGAATGCAAATTTATGCAAGATGTTTTAAAAAACACTGTTAGATACAAGAGCTACAAATGAATGTACTTGGTGGACTTGCTACATGAAATCAAGGCATAACAGTTACTTTGCTATAGCTTAATGGAATTTCTTCTGGGGTTGATATCATAAAGGGCATACCGGTGCTCTCAGTGAGGAGGAAATCATCATCTCACTATATCTACAGTGTGCTTTATTGAGGTGCCGGCCTAGCATAAACTCTGGTTGGTTTGCAATACACAGCAGAATCACAATACAAGCAAGCACTACCCGCAGGCTGTCACAGTCAGACATGAGATACCGAACAAGGGGCACTTGTTACTTGCACCACAAAGGCGGTGCTGCAGTCAGCTGCCTAGGGGATGGTGACCTCAACTTCCTAAGCTAATGCATTCACAGAAACAGCAGAATCTTATCAGAAGATGAGACAAAGGTGTAACAAAAGCAGCATGGCACCCCAGCATCTTTGGCATCTGTTCTAAAGAAGTGCTTTCTTTCCAAACAGTGAAGGGAAGAAGATACTGAAGCCACAAATGAATGGCTCTAAGCGCCAGCTCATGTGCAAGCTCACTCCAGGGCATCACAACCAGCAGCACTTCTTTTGGCAAGATGAACTGACAAACCAAGCAAGATTTCTTAATGATAAGATGTTGATGGGGGAGAAAAAGGAGCCATTGTAAGCAGAAGCAAGGTGAACAACTAATTGGCAGCTAGCTTTCAGCAGCATCTAAAAAGAGGGAGCTACCTTCTGGCAACACAAACAGAAAGATTAGAAAGTGAAAACCTACAGGACAGGGAACACCCACAGTCACACTACATTTGAAGAGGCACTGTACACACTCCAGAAACCGAGAAAATTATTGCTTTTCAAGAGGAGTTTTGAAATATTTGTGCTTTCACAACCCTCTCTAATGCAGCACTGAGTGTTTCTTTCTCTCTCCTACAACCCTCCCCCTTTCTTTAATTAGAAAGAAGCAAACACTTCATTGAAGTGTATGAGCAAAAATTAACATGAGCAGGTTTTCAACCTATAAAGGAAAAGAATCTTCTTAAGCATACTGCTCCTACACAATATGAAAGTCTTGATCTGATAAACATTCAAGATCAACAAAAGAAAAACACTTCTGGTTGTTAAGCACAGGTTCGTCATTTGAAATAAACTCTGTAGTGCTCGCTTTTATACAGAACCGAGAAAGAGCAACTAATAGAGTTTTTTAAAAAATCTTAACTGTGCCACATAGTGTAAAATTTAGCATTTTTGTATTTTTTTAATCCAATGATTGTTGTAAAGTAACACTGAATACTACTCTGAGGTAGCTTTGCCAGTTGCTTCTTCTGAAATACAGCCAACAAAACCTAGGTTTTTTTTGCCAATCCCTCAACCAAGAGCTAACCAGGGCTTACCCTTGTTAGTTTCCAAGATCAGACAGGATTTATTAGACAATAATTAAACTAAGCAGTATTAACGATGTACAGTATGACTCTTGTATCCATGGGGGATTCCCTTGAACAGGTCAGCACTGTTAGAAGATCTAAAACAAGTTATCCCCTTGTTGCCTCTTCTACCTTCTGGACAATTACACCTGCAAGGCAAGTTAAGAATTTGATGGACCTGATATTCTGGGCAGAGTTTGATTTCCAAAAACCATTAGGATAGTTGACATTTCCCATTACTACCGCATCTTTTTTTTTTGAATGTGTGGTCATCTGATCTCGGAAGGCACAATTAAATCCTCAGCCTGACTTGGTTATCTGTATTAGACTCTTGCTATTTCTTTCCCCCATGTTTTTTTCCACAGATGCTTTCAATCTGGTTTTCAGAATTCAAGTCACAGATCTCTTCACTGGTGTAAATATATTTGGCATATAATGCTACTGGCCTTTTCTTTCTTCACTCTATTTCAATACTCCAATTCTGAGGCTCATCCTACCAGTTATAGTGATGCCTCTTGTGTTACCCTTGCGTTACTGTGTAAAGAGCTCAAGTTCATTTCCAATGTTCTGTGCACTACTGTAAATACATCTAATCCTCCCTTGCCCCAACTGC